CGCGATTCTCTCGCTCTAACGCGATTCTCTCGCTCTAATGCGATTCTCTCGCTCTAACGCGATTCTCTCGCTCTAATACGTTTCGTTCGCGCTCAGTCGCATAAGACAAACTCTATTCGCGGTTTTCGCGTACTCTCAACGTTCGCGCGTGCAAGTGAGATTTGCCACGTGGACAATTAAAGCAGTGAACTTTTGTGAATTGTGTATATCTCAAGTTCGTCTCGACATTCTCGAAGATGGCCATTGTGATCGACATCATTGCTCGACAGAACGATCTCTTTGGGCTCATCTCTCGTTCTATCGATAATCTCAATAAACTCGGAGCTGCACGGATCACTCGCGGCGCGGTCCAAAGTTGCTTAGGCTCTCTCAAGGCCAATTGGGAGAAATTCACCGTGTATCATGACAACTTGGTTAAAGCCAAGCATGCCGAGATAGAGCAGTTTCCATACGTTACCGAAAACGTGTACTCTCTCTGTGAAGATAAATACCATGAAGCGCACGGATTTATGCTCGATATGCTGGATCAGTTCGATCGCAAAGCGCAGCATGAGGCTACCGTTACTAACGCAACTAATTCGCCGACAGGATCTCACTCTCGACTATTACCGCGTATCAACTTCCGAAGCTTTCCGGCGATTACGCTCAGTGGAGCCCCTTTCGAGATCTCTTCAAGTCCATCGTCATGGAAAACAACGATCTCTCGGCTGTCGAAAAGCTCCATTACTTAAAAATGAGTCTAACCGGTGAGCCAGCGCAACATTTGAAGAACATTCCCATCACTAGTGAAAATCTTAAACGCTCGTGGGAAATTCTCGTGACTTGCTACGATAATAAACGAGTTCAGATCGACGCGCAATTATCCGCCTTAATCGTGATTCGCAAATTGAAAATGGCAGGTGCAACAGAAATCAAGAAACTTCTTGGCGATGTAAAAGAGTCGCTCGACGACCTCGAAACTCGCGAATGTCCAGTGAAATCCTGGGACCACATTATCGTCTTCATGATCATACGTAAACTCGACGTCAAATCATTGAAGGAATGGGAGACAACTCTCGGTGTAAAATCTACATCCTTCGGTGAGCTAGAACAGTTTCTGGTTGGACGCGTGCAAATCCTAGAATCAATCGAACGAGTCATGATGCCATCTAAGCAACCAGCTTCGAATTCTACGTCGGTACGTTCGCAGTCAAATGCACGAGCATATGCCGCTACCGCTGCCGTACAACAGTGTGCAGTGTGTTTCTCGGGACATTATATCGCGTCGTGCCCGAAATACCTCGAGAAGACTGTGAATCAACGACGCGAGGTTGTCGTTGCAAAAAATCTGTGTTTCAATTGTCTCGGACCTCATCACCTCAAGGCATGTCGCACTTTGAAACGCTGTCGGTTCTGTCGCAAGCAACATCACTCAACGTTGCATGTAGCTACGGTCGAATCCGACGCCTCGACGTCGTCCAATACGCCGGCAGTCTCCGTCCCGTCGGCTAGCGGCTAGCGGCCCTACCACGGACAACTCTGGAGCATCTCAAACCAGCCAACAATTCGGCGCTTCTCACACGTGCAGTCATATCGCACAATCACGCATAATTAAACGCACTCCAGTGCTCCTTGCTACCGCTTTAGTTATGGCTATCTCTCGAGCTGGAGAACGATTCCAGCTACGGGCATTACTCGATCAAGGATCAGAAGCTTCGTTTATCTCCGAGTCCGCTGCGCAGCTTCTAAAGTTATCACGTAAGCCAGCGTCTGTCCTGATTCTCAGAATCGGCGCACAACGCTCCGATGTCTCAAACGGACGAGTCTCTCTCGAAATTATCTCGCGGATCAATTCGGCATTCTCTATCAAACTGGAAGCTCTTGTACTGCCGAAACTCACCGCCTACTTGCCACCCACGAAAATTGCATCCACTCACTGGCCACACATCGACGGACTCCGTCTTACGGACCCGAATTTCTCAATGCCAGGAAAAATTGATTTAATTCTCGGTGCAAGTGTCTACGCGCAAATTCTCGAAAGTGGCATTCGCCACGGAAACGGCGAATCACTGATCGCGCAAAAGACCGCTCTCGGATGGATATTATCCGGACAACTCCAACGATAACGATCATCTCTCGTAAGACGCAATCAACGGATTTCAGTGCTCTCTCGATTGTGAACTTCTCGATCTACTCCAACGGTTTTGGCAACAAGAAGAAATCGTGCCATCGCCTAATGCTACATGCACACCGGAAGAAGCTCAGTGTGAACTTCACTTCAAAACGACTCACTCTCGTGACGCTCACGGGCGGTTCTTAGTTCGGTTGCCGTTCCGACAAAGTGTGAGTGATTTCGGTGACTCGGTGTCGGTGACTCTCGTGCTCCAGCGTTCAGGATGCTGCGTCGCATGGAAACACGCTTCGAAACACACGCATCCCTCAAAACTGCATACTTGGAATTCTTACGTGAGTATAGTGAGCTGGATCATGTGCGCCTTTCAGGCTCTCTAGACTCTTCGCGACGCGAATTCTTTCTGCCGCATCACGGTGTCATTAAAGACTCTAGCACAACGACGAAACTCCGCGTCGTGTTCAACGGATCACAAAAAACCAATCTCGGAATCTCGTTAAATGATTGTCTTCATATCGGACCGAAACTTCAAACGGAACTTA